CACACGATCCTCCAGGTGATGTTGTTGATCACGCAGGTTGTGAGGAAGAGAGAGGGTCTCAAGAGCATCGTCCTCCACGCCAGGAACCGCGAGATGATGTGGCCTCTCACTGCTCACGCTGTTGGTCAGGAAGAACAGCGGTCTTAAGAGCAGCCCCCTCCTCGTGCAGCACCGCTCAATGGTGACGTTCGGCACGCTGGTGGTCAAGAAGAAACAGTTCTCAAGAGGATGGCCGTCGGCCCGCTGCGCGCGTTGCTGCTGTTGCTCGCTGCCGCGGTGGGGAAGGGAACGCGTTTCAAGCGCACCCGTCCCGTCCAGTGCGACAGGGTGAGACTGCTGATGACGCTGGCGGTGTGGAAGCAACTTGCTTCAGGAGTGTCCTCTTCGTCGTCTCTCTGCGTGAGTTGACGCTGATGGTCGCACTCCTGGTGATGAGGAAACGGGTCTCAGGTGCCCATCCCCCCATCTCCACGTTCCGTGCTGTGCGATGTCGATGTTGTTCGCGTTGGCGGCGAGTAAAACAAGCTGCCTCAATGTCATAGTCCCCAACTCTCTAATCTCGTGATGGTGATGCTGATGATGGTGGTGATGACCATGGTCGTTCTCAGAATCATGATAATGATGATGATGTTGTTGATGATGATGATCATGTTCATCAGCATCATGACAATGACGATGGCGATACCGATGACGATGGCGACGATGATGATGATGATGATGATGATGATGATGATGATGATGATGATGATGATGATGATGATGATGATGATGATGATGTTGATGATGATGATGATGGTGGTGGTGGTGGTGGTGGTGGTGGTGACGTTGCTGACGATAACGATAACGGTGAGGATGATGATGATGATGATGATGATGGTGATGATGATGACGATGGTGGTGGTGGTGATGATGATGATGATGATGATGATGATGATGATGATGATGATGATGAGCAGAACAGAGAACGGAGATGAGGATGAGGAGGAGGAGGAAGAGGACCAGTGTAAACCCAATACGCATTAACGATGCTGCAATAAAACGTCCCTCCAAGTTCCCTCTTCATCGCCACCCACAAGAACTTACTGTCACTGCTGGAAGCGCCCCGTTGGAAGGTAAACGCCTGGGAACCCGCACCCGTGCCAATAACAATCCTTGGACTTCAACGCCGCGAATTGGCTTTACGTCTGCGTCCTGACGAGCCTGCATCGCGCCAGAACACCACTCCTGGGACTGCAACGTCGCGAATCAGCGCGACTGGTGCGCCCTGACAACCTATTTCGTGCCAGAGCACAATCCCGGGTACGCCAACCATGAGAAGCTTTGAACGTGCTGTAAATTGTTAAGGCGCGACTTCGCGGCGCTAAGGCGAGATCTACAGGTTAAGAGGAACCGCCCTCCAGATGTGAATCCCTTGCGGGTGCTGGAGGCGAATAAGCGCGGCGCGAATGCGAAAGCCACAGTTTGAAACGACACCGCCCTCCAGCTTTGAGGCCCTGGCAAACCTTCATGACGGATGTGCGTGGCGCCACGGCGAGAGCCACCGTTTGAAAGTGAACCGCCCTCCACCCGCGAAGCGTGTGCATACTTTGAAAACGAATGGGCGCGGTGCGAAGGCGAGAACCACAGTTTGAAAAGGAGCAGTCATCCCATTCGTGACGCCCTTGCAAACGTTGAATGCGAATGTGCGCGGCTGCCAAAGCGAGGGCCACATGTTGACAAGGAGCATCCATCCATCCGTGAAGCTCTTGCAAACGTGCAAAATCAAGATGCGCGGCGCTAAGGCGAGGGCCATGTGTTGAACAGGAATTGCCCTCAATCCGTGGAGCCCCTGCAAAGGTTTAAGACGAATGTGCGCGGTGCGAAGGCGAGAGCCACAGTTTGAAAAGAACAGCTCTCCAGATGTGAAGCTGTTGGAAATATCAAAACCTAATGCATGCGGCCATCAGGCGAGAGCCACAGTTTGAAAAGAAGCCGCCCTCCATCCGTGAAGCTCTTGCAAACTTGTAAAACGAATGTGCGCCGCGCTATGGCGAGAGCCACGTTTTGAAAACGGTCCGCCCTCAATCCTTGAACATGTTGCAACATCTAAGTTCATTGATCATAAATGGTGCGGATGTCTCAGGCGAAACGCTTGGCCCGACCTACCGACACGTCTTGGGGTGCGACAGGGAGGAGTTATGTATACGGAAGCGGGATGGACGATCTAGAGCGAGTTGGCGGTGAGGAAGAACATCCCATTCAAGGCCGGTCGTTGCAAACACTGAGTGCTTGATCACCATTCCTGTGAGTAAGACATGGGGTATCAAGTGCATCATCCTCGCCCTCAGGAAGCGCATCATCGGCAGGCGCAGGTGCACGATCATCGTGCGGTGATTCGGGTCGAGGACGCTGACGGTTTGAACATCCAGGTAGGCACGCCCTTCGCGCAGAACGTGCCATGTAGGGAGCTCCACCGTCGGCCCCAGCGGGTGCGTCCACATGGCGTTGCCCCGCCTTCTTCATCACACCCCTCAAACGGATCGTGCCCACAGGGGGGCGGACTGGTGGCCCCACTGGGTACGTCCAAATGGTGGTCCGCGACAATTTCGGCACACCCATCACGCAGGTCGTGTTCGATTGGGAACTATGCCGAGGGCCGCAGCTGCTGCACCTGCATTCGAGCCCACGCCAGTTTCCGCAGACTCCTCACGGATCGTGCCCCACAGGGAGCTCCGCCCACGACCCCAGCGTGCGCGCCAGAAGTCGGGCTTGCGCCAATCATGTCCGACCAACCCTCAAGCAGCTTGCGCCCACGGGAAGCCCAAACCCATGGCACGAGCGAGAGGCTTCGCCTTCCGGCCCGCGCCCAGGTCGGCACACTCCTCGCGCGGATCGTGCCCCCATGCGGAGGTCTGCCTGGGGCACCCGTGAGCGGCTTCGTCTGCGGGCACGCGCCCCATTTGGAACAGGCCTCGCGCGGACCGCGCCCCGGTTTGGAGCCCCCCCTGCGGCTCCAGAAGGGGGCCCTCACGGCCGGCCCTGCGCTGTTCGCAGCCGCATGTTGCTGGGCCCTTCGCTGGGCACATCGCTCAATAGCCTCTAGTTTTTGGATGCGTCGGGGTTTTCGGGAGGGGGGGCTCTCCGGCTTTTCCATGTTTTTTGGAGGTTTTCGGGCCAGTGCCCGGAGGTTTCTGTCCAAAGGTTCCGGATGGTGTCGGAGGTTTCCAGAGGCGGGGGATAGAGGCAGGATGAAGAATCAAGAAGAAGAGAGGATAGTGGGAGGAGGAGGAGGAGGAAGAGGAGGAAGAGGAGGAGAATGAGGAGGAAGAGGATGAGTAGGAGTAGGAGGAAGAGAAGGAAGAGGAGGAGGAAGAGGAGGAGGCGGCGAAAGAAGAGCAGGAGGAGGAAGAGGAGGAGGAGGAGGAGGAGGAGGAGGAGGAGGAGGGGGAGGAGGAGGAGAACCCCTTGGGACACCCGCTCACACCGTAGAGCTCACAGGGGCCTCCAGAAAACCTCACCCTCCTTCTCCTCCCTCTCTGCCTTCCTCTAGCCCGCCTCGGCGATGAGGAGACGACGGCGACGACTACGGCGACGATTACGATTACGGCGACGACGACGACGACAACAACGGTGACGGTGACGGTGACGACCAGAATCCGTTCGAAGTTGTTCTTGGAACCCTTCTAGGCCTCATCATGGCTTGGTTTTCGACATGCGTCCGACCGTTGCAACGAGAGGGACCCCCGAATGCCACAAAATACACCCGTGTGGCAGAAGACCCTAAGCAGCTTTACACTGCTACAATTGGGGCAACGATGGGGGGACACGATTTGGGGATGATCGGGATAAGTACGCATACAGATGGGGATAGAGGCAGAGGGATAGGAATAGAGATAGGGATCGGGATGGGGATTGGGATAGGAATAGGAATATGAATAGGGATAGGGACTGCAACGAGAGGCCATGGGAAGCCACGTCTCCTGACCGGTTCCGGATCCGGCGACGCACCGCACGAGATGCTACGGGACGCCACGGGAGGCCACGGGAAGCCACATAGCCCCACCGATTCCAGATCCGGCAGCACACGTACGAGTTTCTCAGAAGACATGAGTTTGGCCCAACCCCAATTAACGGACAGTTTCTTAAGCGGCATGGGCTGGCATTGTTTGGCATTGCCTTGCTTGACGTTGCATTACCATGAATGGCGTTGCGTTGCTTGGCATTGCTTGGCGTTACTAGGCATAGGCTAACATTACTTGGCACTCATTGGAATTGTTTGGCATTAGTTGCTGTTGCTTGGCGTTGGTCTGGATTGCTTTGCATCGCCTTGGGTTGCTTGGCACGGGTTTGCATTGCTTCGCTTGGCACTGCTTTGTGCTGCTTGGCGCTACTTTGATAACTTGAGGGACACAAGACCAGGGAACCAGGGGAGCCCGAGGAAGGCTGTCCCAATAGCGAAGGAACAAAGCCAAAGGGATCCGGGGAACCCCGTGGAACGTGAGGAAGGCTGGGCTTTCAAGAGCAGTAAGGAATCAAGACCAAAGGGACCCGGGCAACCCCGAGGAACGCCACTGTAAAGAAGCACGAACCAGGAACCCTGGGGAACTGCGGCGCGTTCAGGACCGGCACCCACCGATTTCTTCAACATCAAGTAGGAACCTCCAATGCAAAGCCTAATCGGAGAATGGATGGAGACCCACACACGCCGTTCGTTGAAAGTAAGTATTTTGGGACTCCCAGATCCCAATGTGCTTTGGGCGCCCTCCTACTTCAAGAGTCGCGCGGTTTTCCCTCTGCCCTCCTCCTCAGGGAGCGGGCGGAAACCCAATCTACTTCAAACGCCTTCCTACTTTATGCTCGTCCCTACTTCTTCTAACCGGCGGGTACAGGCGAGCTGCTTGGGGAACGAGGACGGGGATTGTGACCACGACCTCGACGACGACGACGACGACGACGACGACCTCTCGCGCCCAAGGCTAAGGGCGATGCGGGCGTGCAGCAGCTGCCAGCCGTGGGCGCGCATGGCCGAGGCGATTGCGTTCGCCATGGTCTGCGCATTCACGTACGCGCTGGCGGCTGGGAGGGGCCAAGATCCAGGGTCGACGATGGACCCTTGCTTGAAGTCGGTCACGTCCCTCTACAGGAGGAAAAATCAAAAATAGGCAAAAAATGGTCTGGCGACGATTTGCAGAGTTTTTTTGACTATTTCGGGGGTATGTTTTGACTATGCTTTATTGTTCGTCCGAAATCCGCCTGTAGGAGGACATGCCCGACCTAACCCTTGCTCCTCCAGTCAGGACGCGTCTGAAGGTCTTCTGGAGCCTCCAGGCGGCGGGCGAGGGTCGGTGGATGCGCCCCCCCCACGGGCCTCCCGAGGGCAGGAATCTTTTTACCACCCGCGGGGGCGCGGAGACGATCGCGCTTGGCGCGCCCGCCGCGGCCTGGGCCAGAGAGCTGCCCTTCTCCAAGGCGGCGTCGCGAGGGCGCGGAGATGGCCGCGCATTGTCGCGATGCGCGAAGTTGGGTGACGTTACACGCTGGCGGCCCGGGAGGGCAGGATCCAGGATCGACGAGGGAGGGCACCAGTGGCACGAGGCTGGAGTTTGTTGAGTAATCTTACCGGTGGGACCACGCCTTGGATGGCAAGGAGCTTTGGGGGGGATGTGGGTACAGCTTTCGGTTTGCGATTGGCGTCGCATCGGTCTCCGAATACATGTGTGTATACACATATATATATATACATATATGTACATATGTGTGTAGATATAGATGCGCTGGCCGGTCCCCCCCACCCCCCCACCCACCTTCCCTGCTAGAATCGATGGCGGCGTGTTTAAAACTAAAGTGTCGATGTTGGTCGTGTTTCTTTTCTGCGGGGCTCCAAAGCTCGATACGCACATCATCTCCCCCTCGCGCGATCGGCAAATCCAGAAGGTAGCGCGCACGAGTGACAGCAGGTTGCGTTGTGCAGTTGGCTTCCTTTCCTTTGTTTAACAAAAAACCGCGCGGCCCATGATCGACCACGATGTTAACAGCCGTGGCACGTTTTGCAAAGCCTTCCGAAGCCTTACTAAGCCTTAAGCCCTGCTGAACTTCGCTGAGCCCCTCTGAGCCCTGCTAAGACCTGGTAGGTACTGCTAAACCGTGGTAAGCGTTGGCGAGCTCTGCGAAGCCCAGCTAAGTTTTGGCACGCCCTGCTGAGCCCTGGTATGTTTTGCTGTGCCTGGTAAGCCCTGCTAAGCTTGGCAAGTAAGCCTTGCTTAGCCCCGATCAGCTTGGCAAGCCTTGCTGAGCCTTGCTCAGTTTTGCTCAGCCTTGGCAAGCTGTGCTGAGCCCCGCTAGTCCTTGCGAAGCCTTACGCCATGCTTTGCTGTGCCCTGCTAAACCTGGTAAGCCTTGCTAAGCCTTGGTAAACCCTGCTAAAGCCTTGTAAACCTGGCTCAGCCCGGCTGAGCATGCTAAGTATTGTTAAGCCCTAGCAAGCTCGGTAAAACCCAGCTGAGTCCGTGCGCTGCCTCCTGGTTTCTGGTAATATGGTACGCCCCCCAGCAGGCAACTCCATAAGGTAGCGAGTACGGTTCGCATAAGTTTGCGGCGTGCAGTAAAAAACCGCGTCGCCGATGATCGATCGACCACGACGTTAGACCTTCCTCAGCCTTGGCGAGGTTTGATAAGCTCTGCGAAGCCTTACCTGCTGAGCCCTGCTAGGACTTGGCAAGCCCTGCTAAGTTCTGCTAAGCCGTGGTAAGCCCTGGTAAGCCTTGCTAAACCTGCTGTGCCTTGCTAGGCATTGCTAAGCCCTGCTAAGCTTCGTAAGCCTTACCAAGCCCAGCTAAGCTTGGCAAGCCAAGTCGACCTTCTAAGCATTGTTCAGCCTTGGTAAGCCATGGCAAGCTTTGCAGATCCCTGCTAATCCTTGCGGAGCTGCAAGCCCTGCTGGGCTTTGCTAAGTCCTGCGAAGCCCTGCTAAGACCTGGTCCCTGCTAAGGCCGGCCTTGTAATGCTAGCTAAGCCTCACTGAGCCTGTTAAGCACTGGCAAGCCTTGGCAAGCTCTCCCAAGCCCTGCTAAATCCCGGTACGCCTGGGCTCTGGCAAGTTCCGGTGAGGTTTGGTATGCCCTGGTAAACCCTACGCAGCCCTGTTAAGCCTGACACAGCCCAGCTTGGTTCAATAAGCCTTGTTAGGTCGTGCTGGGCCTTGCTCAGCCTTGGCAGGATTTGCTAAGCCCTGCTGGCCCTTGCGAAGCCTCAAGCCCTGCTGAGCCTTTGCTGAGCCTTGCTAAGACCTGGCAAGCCTTGCTAAGCCTTGGCAAGCTCTGTTAAGCCCTGCAAAGGCTTGCTGAGGCCTTGTGAACCATGCGAAGACCGAGCCAACTTGCTCAGCACTGCTAAGCCCTGGCAGCGTCTGCAGCGCCCTGCTAAGTCCTGGTACGCCCTGCTAAGCACTGCTATGCTCTGCTAGGTGTGCTAAGCCATGTTGAGCTCAGATCAGCCTTGTTAGGTAACCCTTTTCTACGCTCAGGTGGGCTTCGTAAGCCTTGCTAAGCGCGGGTGAGCTTGGTAAGTCTTGCCAAGCCATGCTAAGCCTTGCTGAGCCCAGGTATATGTTGCTCAGCCTATCGAAACCCTGGCTGACACCGCTAAGCCATGTTGAGCTCTGCCAAGCAGTGCTACTCCCTGGCAGCATGTGCAAAGGACTGCTAAGCCTTGTCAAGCCCAGCTGAGCCCTGGTCGGCATTGGTAGGACTAGGTAACCTAGGGCACCACACACCAGGACAGTATGTTTTGTAGCCACCAACGACCGAATTAGTGCACCGCGCTTGGCGGGCGATGCCTGCGGAGCGGCCTCCTCTGGAGGGGGGCACAGAAGGCATCGCGCGCCGGCCTCCTTGACAACCATCGCCTTGCCTGTTGCCCACCTGCATTCTGGATTGGCGCAGTCGTGGACGGTCGCCCGCCTGCACTCTGGATTGGCCTGCCGCCCACCTGCTCTCTTGATTGGCGCGCCTTGGACCAGCAAAGACTGCCGGAGGTGGGGGTTGAGTGGAAGGTGTCGGAGCTATAAGCGCGCTGGCCACTTCTGCATCTCGCTCCCCTGGAACGGTGGGGGGGGTTGTGCGGGGGGGGATTATTTCTGTTTGCCTCCCTCCCCCCCCCGTCACACACCCTGTCACCCGCTGCTCTCGAATCCGGGGGGGGCCTGTGAGGGAGATGGGGGATAGGGACGGAAAGCGCGTGCATTCATGGATTTTTGGATCCAGGCCAAGAAGAAGGGACCGAAGACTCCAGCAAAAAAACGCAGTGAAGCGTGCAAGGGGGACCGATCCGCCCCCCCCCCTCAAAAAAAAAAAACGTTCAATCTAAGAAGTGGAATAGGCCAGGACCCATATTCCTATTCATGTATTTTTACAGGGCCCGGGACCCCCGGAAAAAGCGCCCCCCCCCGCCCCCCACGAATTTGGCCCACCCCGGGCCTCTCGGGCAACCCTCCAAACGACCCGGGAGAACCCCACGAGAGCCCAAAGACGGCCCCACAGGGCTCCAGGCGTTGCAGCGCGCTCCCGAAACGACCCCAGCCTCAAGACGGTCCACGACGACACCAAAGAAGCCGTCATACCCCCAAGATCGCTCCAAAACGTCCCAAGAGGCCTCCAAGAGCACCCCTAAGAAGGCCAAGAGGCAACATTCATTGATTTTCTGTTGGTTTTTGGTGAATTTGGGGGTTCTCCTCTTTTTCGCTTCCCGACGCTCCAAGACGGCGGTCTTCTGGGCGTCAGTAGCCGCCTGGGAGGCGCGAGAGCTGCCCCGCAACCATCCGAAAGGGTATCCAGGCAGACCAAGAGAGCCCTAAGATGCACAACAGGGTTCCAAGATGACCTAAAAGAGCCCCATGACAGCCCAAGATGGCCCCAAGACACCCTCCGAAGTATTCCAAAACAAAAAAGAGCGCGTTTTGTGGTCGCTTGGAGGGGGGGGGGGTTGGAACCAGACCCCCCCCCCTCCCGTGACGGAGGGGGGGGCGGGTTCGAACCCCCCTCCACCCTCCCCTCCCCCCTTGCTTCCCCTCTTCTCAGGCCTGCGCTTACGTCGGCGGCGGCTGGCGGCGGCGGCGGGGACGACGATTTCCTTTTCTGGGCTGGCGCCGGCGCCGGGGAGCGTCGACGAGGACGACGGTGGTGGTGGTGGTGGTGGTGGTGGGTTGTGGTGGTGGTGTTGGCGGTGGTGGTGGTTGTGGTGGTGGTGATGTGGTGGTGGTTTGGTGGTGGTTTGTGCTGGTAATGGTGGGTTGTGGTGGTGGTGGTGGTGGTGGTGGTGGTGGTTTGGTGGTGGTGTGGTGGTGGTTTGTGGTGGTGGTGGTGGGTTGTGGTGGTGGTGGCGGTGGTTTGTGGTGGTGGTGGTGGTGGTGGTGGTGGTGGTGGTGGTGGTGTGGTGGTTTGTGGTGGTGGTGGTGGTGGGTTCTGCTACTGGTAGTGATGGTGGTTGTGGCGGTGGTGGTGGTGTGGTAGATTGCGGTGGTTGTGGGTTTTTGTGGTGGTGGTGGTGATGGTGAGTTGTGGTGGTGGTTGTTGTGGTGGTGTGGCGGTGGTGTGGTGGTGGTTTGTGGTGGTGGTGGTGGTGGGTTGTGGTGGTGGCGGTGGTTTGTGGACGTGGTGGTGGTGGTGGTGGCGGTGGTGGTGGTGGTGTGGTGGCTTGTGGTGGTGGCGGTGGGTTGTGCTGCTGATAGTGGTGGTGGTTGTGGCGGTGGTGGTGGTGGTGTGGTAGATTGTGGTGGTGGTGGGTTTTTGTGGTGGTGGTGGTGCTGCTGATGGTGTGTTGTGGTAGTGGTGGTGGTTGTGGTTGTGGTGGTGGTGGCTGTGGTGGTGGCGGTGGTGGTTGTGTGGTGAGTTGGTGGTGATGGTGGTGGTGGTAGGTTGAGGTGGTGGTTATTGTGGTGGTGTGGTGGTGGTTTGTGGTGGTGGTGGTGGGTTGTGGTGGTGGCGGTGGTTTGTGGACGTGGTGGTGGTGGTGGTGGCGTGGTGGTGGTTGTGTGGTGGCTTGTGGTGGTGGCGGTGGGTTGTGCTGCTGGTAGTGG